AACAAGGGTGGTTGGTCAGTACATCTTGAATGTAATCAAGGTACTGGTACCTGGGATTGTAAATATTTAGGGCATAGTTAGGATTTTTCAATGGTGAGCACTAATTTTTCTTGGTAAAGATCTTTTCCTCTATTGTTAATATGCAGTAATTTTCTGACACAATTATGATTTGTGCTCCCTCAGCTGTATTTGTAAATTAACAGAAAATTGGTACAGAACAAAGGAGAAAAAAAAATAAATGCAAATTTCAATATCTTTGTTTTCTTGGTTTTGTTTATTTGTTTGGTATTATCATAGTTTTGTTTTAGTTTTCCTCCTGACAGGAAAACAGTGCTGGCAAAGCAAATCACAGGCAATTTCTAAATTAATCATAAATCACAATTTCCTCAAATGTAATTGGTGCATTAGCTGCTTTATTTTCACCAATTATTTTGTAGAGTTGTGGTCAGACAGTGTGATTGAACAGTTAGCTGTACTCAGACCTGTATTTGGAAAGTTAAAGCAGCCAATCATACAAAGTCATCTTAGCTAAATCCACTGATCACAGAATTGATAACAATAATTACCATGGCAATAAGCACTTTCCTATTAAAACAGGGGAGTTTCCAAAATGGAGGAGTTTTTTAACTTTAAATAATGTCTTTACTGGAGACATTTCCCCTGAATGTATTTGTTTTTTTTTTTTAATTGTAATGGTCATGACTAATTGGTAACAGGACTTCATGTAATCATACTCCTTGCTTCACAAAACTGACTCCACTGTGCTGTTCTCCAAATCTGTAATCAATTGAAGGATTACAGATAGAATTGGACTTCACTCAGCTCCTAGAACCATTCCCAAATCCAACTGGTTCTTAAACCCACAAATGTGTGGTCTAACAGTCTCAATTTGCAAACTGAATTCTGCAAGTGTGCACTGAACTTCTTCTGCATACAGAATCACTTGTCATAAAACCACAGAGAGGGTGTGGAGGGGAAGGAAATGAATTGAAGGAGTGGATAATTAAAGTAGAAAAAGACTCCTGTAGGTCAGACCTCTTTGATTTCTCAATAAAATACTTTGACATATATTCTCATTAATTTTTTAAACCTGTGTATTGTTTTTTTGGTGATTAACATTTTAAACTATTAAATAGACCTTTCTAGTACAATATTTGGTTATAAATACAGCTCAGTTAATATTTTTGGCTGAGTTACCACATACAGGTGCAGTTATCCAGCTGTTTTGAGTAAGGTTGTCCAAAAAAAAGGACAAAAGAATCTCAATTTCACCTCCTGTATATATTCTTTAAATATTTTTAACAGTAAAACTGTTCTTTGCAGTGTAATTTGAAAAAATATCCCTAACATCACCAGAATAAATGTGATATTATAATTCATCAAATAATTTTGCTTGTGTGCAGTTGGTTCAGCTACTGTTACAGAAGAGGAAGTAACATGTTTGTTTGTTCATAAAGTCATAACAGCAATCACTAAAAAGAAAACATCCCATGCAGCAAACAGGAAGCTGTTCCTTGAGATTTCCCCATGCACTGCACAAATATTTGAAGGACAATAAACACAATAGCCTCCAGTTGGTGCAAAAATCTACTCGTACATTTGCCCTTCAACATCATCATTTGTTCTACAAAGTTCAAAGTTTTCCTTAAACTTTGCTCTTGGAAAACTGTCCTCATCTCAGAACAGAAATGTCTGTGGACAAATATCTGTGCATATTTCTGCACAAAAGGCAAGCTAATTTTTATTTAATTATTGTGAATTTTTATCCACATTAAATGTATTTTCACTATTTATGTCATGGGCATCAGTCAACTCTGGATGCTTCTCATGACCCACTGGATAAATAGTTGTTACCGACAGATACTCATCAATGGTTCTTTCTGTACACCTGGCCACAAATCTTATAAAAGGTCTAACATCACCATGATTGGCCATATCTAAGTATTCATAATATTTGTATCTGTCTTGAAATCTAATAATAACTGGAGGGAACCCTGCTCGCATCAAAATGGAATTCATTAACAGTCTGCTAGTTCTTCCATTGCCATCTGTAAATGGATGAATGTAGACAAGTTTGTAATGCGCAAGAGCTGCAAATTCTATGGGATGAAGCATTTCAGGTTCTCTGGACATAAGCCATTCATTAAATTCATTCACATGTCTTTCAATCTCCATTGGGCCGGGGGGAACATGATTCCCTACAAATACCTGTGTGGTTCTGAATCTACCAGCTTCCAAAGGGTGAGCATGTCCCAAAACGCGGCGGTGTATTTCAACAACGTCATCTAATGTAATTTTTTCTTGTTTTTGGAGTAGGGACCCATTGACAAATTTCATTGCTTCGTCAAGCCCTAAGACTTCATTGTGCTCTAATATACTCTTTCCAGGCACTGCCATTCTTGTTTCCACAATTGCTCTTGTCATTGATAATGTCATTGTGTTACCTTCAATGGCATTTGAGTGATATATATGTTTGTAGTAAGCCTCAGTAACAGCTCTTTTCATAGCTAGGCTTCCTTTTGGAACACGGAAGAGTTCATCTCTTTTCTTATCAATCTTATCAAGCATTTCCTGATCAAGCTGTCGTACCTTGGGTAATGTCCTTCCTCTGTTTGCCATTGCCCTGGAGTTTTCAGGACTAACAGCTAGAGCTCTTGTATAAAGATGCTCAGCATGAATTACATCATCTTCTTCAAGAAATTCCCCATAATGTAAAAGAATCTCAGGGTGATGAGGTGATAATGCTTCAGCTTGTTTGAAAAGTTTCAAGGCTTTGTCTCTTTTTCTTTCACCATTCATTTCTAAAGCAAGTTTAAGAGCATGAAGAGCCTCCCCTTGCAAAGGAGCTGTAGAAGAAAACAGTTTTAGATTTAAAGCTTACTAGTAGCATACAACAAGCAGTGAAACCTTTTCAGGGTGGAGCCAGGAATTTATGATTGGAGGGGTGTGCAAACTTTGACTCAAAAACACAGATATTTATATCTCCCTCAGGCCCCAACTAAGATAATCAACATATGTATTTTAAGACAAATAATTTTCAAATACCTTCAAATTAGGTAGTATCACAGGAACCTCCCATTGCAAGGATTTGGCTTCTGACCAGGAGGTGGTACAAATTCCCATCCCCTGACCCTATCACTTTCCACATTACACCCAGTCACGCAAGAAATCATGCTGAATACAATTTAGCTCTATGTAATGTAACCCTATTACAATTGGGAGTTTTGATTTTGATTTTTTCTCAATGTTTGAACATAGTTCTTAGTTGCAGGAGTGATCAGCAAGTTACTCCTCCCTAAAATACCAATACAATGTCTAGTAAACAGGAGATGACAATTGACTTACTTATCAGCAAAAGAGTGTTGATATGAGAGCTTGGTAAGATACAAAATTCTCAACACTTATCAACAAGAATATACACACTTGCCAGAAGAGGGGATTGATCAATTAGATTCTCAGATATTTTTTTCCTTAGTAAAATATAAATTTCTGTCTTTCTCAACTAAGAATCTGGTGGCATGACCAGGACTAATTGAGATTAACTGTCATGGCAAAGTGTGGTGTTTCAGTGTGCAGTTGACCTCATATTTGGTTTAATCGGCTTTCAAACAAGACACTCAAATACCCAGTTGTATGTAACATTGGAAAACTGATGCCTCTTGATACTGAGACCACAGTGTTAACTATGTTACCATCTGTTTATCATACACTTCCCTTGATGAAGTAAAACACTCTTGATTTCGCGTACTATTTAACCTCTCCCACAAATCTTGATCTCATGATTGAAACCGTTAATAAAATGACTTGCATCACTCTTGGCGTAAAGGAAGTGGATCTACGACCATCAAATTCATTACGCTTCGGAAAAGGCTTGTAGTGATTTATTTACATCACTGAATCATGGATAACGTCAGGGGAAAAACCGAGGAATAACGTAAAATAAGTTACAGGAGTTTACCTCTAAGCCCTAAAAGATATATCTTCTTCGTGCTACTATATAGACCTAAGAAGTCAGAGGAAAATCTCGATCCAAGATAATAGATCAACCGTTACAAACAGGAAGTTGATCTCAGATTCGAGCGAAAACATATGTCAAATTCGGATCACACTCAGCAGTAATGCGTATAATTTCTTGCAGGAGTGCCTACATCTACACCTTCCTACGGACTACAAGCAATAAATGAAATTCAATAACACACCATAAAGATTAGAGATAAACTCACTTTTCTCCACTAAAGCGGTTTGTGGTGCTAAGACAAGATTGAAACCAGGTGCGTATGATTCAAGTGATGGACGCCAAAACCACGGCCTCCATATTGAGGGAATGTACGTCGCGATCAGCGCCACAGCAACTCCCGTAAGGCTTGCAAGAATCAAATGAAACACAGGAGGCATATTTCTCAATTTCGAGGATGTAAACAATGATAATCGCAATCTGTTGCAGAGTTCACAAAGTTGCGTCACTCCTTCCGCCATATTTGTTTTTGCTTTCCGAAGGATTACCAGTCGCTTATTGTACGTGCTCGCATTTGATTGGTCGAGAGGGAGTACAAGGGCGCGCGAAAAATGTGATTTTATAACCGTAGGAAACAAATTTACTATTCTCGAATTCAAATAGGCTGCAATATTGGCGTTAAATTATGAACAACATAGAGAACTGAAGAGAACACTTAATCACTAAACATGATAGTAAACTGATAAACTGAACCGAACAACTGATCGTTTCTGTAGGAAGATGAGATTTTTCGCAATTTAAATGAACTGTGAACCGTATTTTCCCGACATTTCCGTCTCGGAGACTAAGCCCGCTTTTTTCTTTCATCATTTCACTTGACAAAAGACGAAGAAAAAAAGCCTTGAACGATAATGATTTAGCCCCAAAATTAAACTGATGCAAGGAAGACAAATCATTCAGTTCCTTTTTTTAATTCTCTGTCTACTCAGATCCTCTCCCCGCCGTGTGGATCATTTCCATGACGTTCAGTGTGTGAAATTTAAGAGTGAGGGGGAGAGGGTGTGGAGATGTGAGGAGTGGGGAGGAGTTTTGACGTGCAGTGCCCCCAAGAGTAGACAGTACTTTCAAACTGAACCTCTCATTTAGGATCCGCCGTGTGATGGGAAAAAAACCTATATTTTCAAAATGAAAGTCACATAATGGCCTTAACTTCGTTTGTCCGTCAGAGGGGAAAGTCAACATGTTTACATTTATTGAGGGTTAATTGAAATTCCCATTAATTCATGCACCTGGAAAAATTCCCAACAATCATCTTTAAGTTTGGGTTTCCCCCTGATGTAAACTACCCGATGTTGACAACAATCTTGTAACTCTTAAACAGTTCCAATGACCAGCCTCTTTGGCTCATAATCAAGCTGCAAGAAGCAGTTGAAAAGCCGTTAATGACCAATGCGTTCAATACTCTCTATAAGGGAAACTATAGAGGGAGGTGCTAGGGGGATTTTAACCCTTCCCCCC